GTGTGTGTGTGTGTGTGTGTGTGTGTGTGTGTGTGTGTGTGTGTGTGGCAGCCCTGTACAAGAGGAAGCCCAGGAAGGGGGTGGGTATGTGTGGGGTCCTGTGAAGGGGACAGGTTGGTTCTGAGAGATATCTTGTGGTGCTAGTTGGGGAGAAGGTGAGGAGCTGGCTATGTGGGAGGCCCTAAATGCACGAGTGAGCTGGGGTTGAGGATGGGGCCGGAATGGAGGCCGACACAAGTTGAAGACAGTGGTAAATGTGAGCCTCAGGCCAGCCTGGTTCCCAGAAGGAGTTAACTGTCTTTGGGGACATAGTGAATCAGAGGCTCCACTCACTACTGGAAATTCCCTGTGCATGGCATGTGGTCACCCAGAAAAGGGAAACGGTGCTTTTCGGAGTGGGGGACAGTGGGGGCCGGAGTGGAGCAGACGCCTGCTTGGGCCTTGCAGAAGCTTATTTATAAGCTTCTGGCTCTATCCCAAGGAGGCCGGCCGGCACCCAAGGGCCTGATGGTCAGGCCACAGCCTGAGGAGGAGGGGGGCAGAGTTGAGGGAGAGGGAAAAACCTCAAGGGGGAACCGGGGGAGCAGGGAACAGTCTTCGAAGGCCTATTGGCCAGAGTTAACCTGGGGGGATAGAACAGTTCCCCTCTGACCTTGATCCGTCCCCTCCAAATGATTGTGCAAAGGTTTCACCACAACGGAGACCTTTCCTCTTTGGAGACCTCCATTTTCACTGCACCACTCCCCACCTTCCACTCCCCATCACTGAGATCTTCAGCTGTGCTCAGATGGTCTCTTCCCCTCTATATCTGATGCCCAAAATTCTGTGGTTAGAGTTTTATTCCTTTAGGATGAGACTTTGAATCATAGGCTCACAAGATATGGTGCTGGGTGGAACCTTAGAACCTCAGCCCGAGCTGAGATGGTCTGGTCAAGGTCACATGGGTAGTAGGGAGCAGAACCGGGATTCAAATCCAGGTCCTCTGATGCCCAAATCTAGCCTCCTTCCTACTACTGTGAGCGGTGTCCCTGTCAAAATGCACCACTTCCTTTGGAAGTGTGACAGCTGAAGACTGATGGAAAGAGGCCACAGTTACAAGGGCGCTGCTCATGGTGCCTGGATGGGCAGAAAAGGGAAACACGGAAGAAAAACTTGTCCGCTTCCCAGCAGAGTTTTGGCAGGGCCCACGGCCTGTTCCAAGCTCCCACCCCATGTACGGGAGGGTCTTGGCTCACTGAGAGTCATCTCTACCTTGAACAGATAGAGGAAACTGAGGCATAAAGACACGTCCTAAGACTCAGTTATGGTAGCTGGGGGACAAAAGGGGACCAAAAAAGAAACAGAACCAAGGCAGGGAGACATAGCAGAAAAAGACCAGGATTTGGGTCCCAGCTCTGTGGCTTCCCGTGCGACCTCATACAAGTCATTCCCCATTTCTGGGCCCAATTTCCTCCTCTTTAAGATGAAGCAGGTTAAAGTCCCTGCCAGTAGTCTGGTCTATGAGATGGGGACGGGCAAAGGGCTGGGTTCTAGGGCCTTTCCCAGGTCCTGGGAGCTTCCTTGGCATCAGATTCCAGCTGCCCCGTCACTGATCCCTCCACATTCCGTCCTCCACACAGCTGCCGAAGTGACATTCTTAAAGCACAGATCTGCCCATGCCAGTGCCCTGCTCAAGGAGCCCTCCCTGCTGTCTCTAGAATAAAATACAGCGTCCTCTGTGGGTCATTTAAAATCCTTCATAACCTGGCTCCAATCTCTCTTTCCAGACAGTTTCACTCTAGGCCCCCCCCCCATCTGTTCTACGTTCCAAAGAGGCCAACTTGTCCTCTGCCCTTGATGTCCCATCTCCTGCCCCTGACTTTGCAAAAGCTGGCCGTGCCCCTTCCCCAGAATGCCTTCCCTCCCTTTTGGGACCCCCCCCGCCTCCCTTCGAGGCTTGGCTCCTAATCCCCTGCACTCTATCTTCCCAACCCCTATCACTCTGTAGAGTTGACACTTATGTCGGGGGTTAAGATCTGCAAAAGGCTTTACAGAAGTCATCTTGTCCGGTCCTCACAACAACCCTACAAAGTAGGCGTCACTATTCTCATTTTACAGATGAAGAAACTCAGGCTAAAAAGTTAAAGGGCTTGGCTGTATCTGAGGCAGGATTCGAACCCAGGCTTCGAGGACTCCAAATCCAGTGCCCTAACCATTACGCCAAACTACCCCAGTAGCTATAATAATAGCTAGCATTTATGTGACACTTTAAGGTTTACAAAGTACTTTAGCTACAGTATCTTATTTGACAATTCGATTCATTATCTGTATACATTTTGTTTCTCCCCATGGAACATAAGCTCCCTGAAGGAACTTATGAAGTTGTTTTGGTTTAGTCTTTGTTTGGCCCATGGTTTGAACTGAGTCTGGGAGGAGGCTTTGAACCCAGGGTGAAGGACTAGATGTGTTTCATCTGGAGAATAGAAGAGGCGTGTGTGAGGAGGAACACAGAGCTGGTTTGGGCCTTTGAAGGGCCCTCATGGGCCCAGTTTTGAGTTGGAGTTACAAGGAGGCTGGTTTAGGCCTCAAAGTCAAGAAAAACATCCTCACAAAGAGAGCCTCAGACGTGGGATGGGCTGGCTCCAGGCAGAGGCTGCATGTCCACTAGTCTGGTGTGTTCTGGTGGGGATTCCTCCGTATACAGGGTGTCTCAATGGCCCTGGTGGGCCTCTCACTCCCAAATGCCTTCTGGATTAGTGAGGATTCTACAGGGCCTTACAGAACAACCCTGGGAAGCAGGTGGGACGAGTGCCTTTATCTCTCTTTCACAAAGGAGGAAACTGAGGCTGAGAGAGGGAACCCCAATCATCTCCCAGCTCCCTTTAGAAGGAGTCACTTCAGGATCGACCTCAGAAAGTAGGAGGAGGGATGGACTCCGGGGGCAGACCCTTCCTTAGCTCTGGGACGATGAGGCTGCCCAGGGTGGCTCCTGATCCCAGGCATGTGACCAGGCCCGGAGATTCCCCAGGCCCTTGCTCTGGGAGTTGCGGGGTAGGGCAGGAAAGAAGGTTCCCCCCACCAGGACCCTGCCCCGGCCCAGCTCTCCTCTCGGCTCTGGGGCCAGTTGTCAGCAGAGCACTCGGGACTTGTTCCCAAAGGCCTGATGGGGGGAGACCACAGTGCTGAAGAAGGGGGCAGGGAGGGGGGTGTGCTGGAGAAGGAAAGAGGAAGCCGTGGGAAGAGGCTTTGGGGGAGGGGGGGACCAGGGGTGGGGTGGGGGATGGATGAGGGGGCTGGGCAAGCCACCAGCCACAGTCACTTCACTCCTCCCAGTTTCAGTTTTTAAATAGCAGCTTGGTTTGGAGCACAGTGGGATGGTGCTGCCCCACCTCCACCCTGAGACACCTCTTCTGGTTAGTCTGGGCCCTAAGATCCCGCTCCTGAAGAATCCTGTCCAGTCTTCAAGCCCCAGGCCAGATGATCCCAGTGGAGCCAAGACAAGTGGCTTTAGCCGGGATCCTGATTGGTCTTGGCCCTTGGCCTGGTCAGTCCTAAGCCCTGGCCTGGTAGGTTGTGGTTCTGGGCCTGGTTGGTCCTGGTGATTGGACTGGTGGATCCCAGTAGATGTCAGCTCTAGGTCTGGTCAGTCCTACCCATTCACCTGTTGGGTCTCAGGAGATCCCAGCTCTGGGCCTGGCCAGTCCTATTGTCAGCCTAGTACATCCC